GTGTAGTAACTGGTGCCAGCATAGCTGCTAAAGATTTTGGGAGAACTGGACCTTGAGGTCTTGTGGGAGGCTCCTGCCCCTGGAATCCATATTCTATATACTCAATTAAATGTGGTGGGAACTCACTGAAATGTTGAATTGCCCTAACGTGATCACAGTATGTTTGATAGTCTTTTAAACGGCTTTTGAACCGATCCAGAGCTGTTATGCCAAAGTAATACATCTTGCTGCCTTCTGGTTTCCTAAGTGCATCCAATACAAATCTCAGAGCTAATCCAAGTGTCATATAGCTACTAATCAATCCTCTTTCGATAATTCCTCCGAATAATTGTGCCGTAATTTGCAACTCTTTATCTGGGTATTGAGGAAAAAATCGATATTCCTCAAATAAGTTTCGCAACATACAGTTGAATACTTCTCTCTCTCTTTTACTACCAGAATCTTGAAATTTTTTTAACATATCAAGAACTTCATCAATTGATAAGGTAGGATGTGGCGGATGGTTGTATATTCGCTGAAAGTAACTGTTTGCTTCATCTTCAATTTCTTTGGAAACATTTTGTGCCATATCAGGAAATAAGTTCGATGCTTCAGGTATTCTTGCTTTTTCAATGCCTGTTGGTGGTCCAAGTCGTCCTAATCCTCCGATTGTTGTACTTCCAGGTAAAACAGATGGTCCTTGCGTACCAACTGGTCCTGAATGCAACTGTGAAGATAACGGTAACATTGGAAATGGACTTGGAGAAGGTCCCATGAGACGAGATGGAGAGCCAGGTGCTGATACTAAAGGTCCAAGTGCACCTGATAAATTAAACGCAGAACTACTTGGTGGACCAAGACTGGAACCCAAACCAATAGATGCAAGACTTGAACTTAAATTTCCAAGCGGATCCACTTGTTTTGAAGAAAACAACTACAAAATTAAATAAGATATATTTATATATAAAATTAGTGTACAAGTAAATATAAGAAATTACATTAATTTCGATACCTGTCCTCCCAAAGTTGCTGGATTAAAAGGTTCCAATCCACGATGTCGTAAAACTCCTGGTGGTGGAGGTCTACTCATTGTACTTTTACTCAACATTAGACTACAATTTTGTACCATTGTCATTATTGCCTCGGAACATTCTTGAGATACACTTCTGTAAAATAAAAAAGAGGGGAAACAAAAAAAAATATTAATAATAAGGAAATATTATTTATATTAAAAACATTTAGAATACAAAAACAGTAAAACATACCCAGCACATACTTGCAAACAAGCAAGCATTGTTGTTAGTGTTTCTTGTGGAAGTTGACTTGCTTTTGGTACTGTAAGATCTTCCTTTATACCAGGTCCCATTACTTGAGGACAACGTCTTTGTAAAAACTTTACACAAGCAGTAACAAAAACTTCTCCTTGTTCTCTAATTTTATCAGTCAACCATTTTTCTAATTTTAAATATTCTCTTCTTGAAGCCAAACAGGCTAGATCAATAACGAACGGATACGATTGCGCAGTCAATAAATGAGTTAATGCTTTGAGGTCTTGAGCAACATCAAGAATACGAGATAGTCTTGTTTGATCATGATCTCCACGTATATACCATTCTGCCATAGCATGCATAATAATAGATTTTATTTTAACTGTATTTCCATGCCATGCATGATGTAGAATAACAGCTGAATTTGGATGATTCCCAAGAAAAATAGGCATTAATGTACTAAGTAATTCTTGTCTAAGTATTGTAATAGGAGCACTAATTTGTAATAATGCTAATACAAGAACATCAGGGCAGTGTTGAATGGGCCATTTAAATATTTCTTGAACTGGTCCATACAGTCCTCTTTCTGCCATATGCAAGAGTAATTCAACTACATTTAAGGACCTCCAAGTTTGTGCTTCCTTACTGTCACTCTCTGGTGCTGCTTTCAATACATCAACAGTTACAGAATGATATGGATAATCGGCGAAACAAAATATATCAGGGCACTTTAAAATTTGTTGCACTAAAGAAAACTGTCCTTCTATGTTATCCCAATGACGATAAAAAAGTTCCACGGGAAACATATCTGGAGGATATCCTTGATGTTGCAATCCCAACCTTAATCCTGTGATCAACAAATTCAATCCTTGTCTATCTTTGATAACAAATTCTGCATGATCTAGTTTAACTATCACTTCATTCCAAGATAATGTTGATTGCTGTAATTAACAATGAACATAAATTAAAATTAAATACTTAATTTAATACATAAAGTTATTAGATATCAGTTACTAAAGATTACAATTTCTTTTAAAGCTTGAACAAAAACTTCAACATTCCATGTAGTAGGAGCAGCATTATCACTTGATTTTTCCTTATTTGCATCTTGTGTAGCTCCTGAATTACCCCAAAATGATTGTAATCCTCCAGCATCATCAAGACTACTACAGCTACGTGCCATATGACCTAAAACCCTTGCTGCGCATGTTGGAGATATTTCTCGAGCCCCTAAACCAGCCAAAGCTGATCGACATTCTTCAACACTGTTAGTGAATCCATATCCTAATTCCATAATCAATTCTACTAGAGAATTTCCATCCTAAAATAGACATATTACATGCATTAAAAGATTTTTAATATATAATATATTACAATAATTATACAGTTATTATTATTTGTATTACCATTTGATTAACAGCCATGTTTAGTTCGATTTTGGTTTGCGGAGTTTCCCCGTTGTCTGGGTACAAGAGTGGTGCTAGCACCACTGGTACCAGCTCACGGGGAAAATCGCGCCTCAAATTCTTGAGAAATTTTTCTTTTGCTTCAGATGAAAGGCCAAATTGATTGGCTGAATGAAAAGCTTGAGACAATATAAGATGAAGAACTTCAGGTAATGAATCGTGCAATCCTTCTTCGTGATGTCTGTTGCTTGTTTCAGAATTAATATAATTTTTTATCAATTCAGGCAGCTGTTTTTGTACGTGCTCTAGAGCTAATGTACGAATTTCAGTATTTTCAGAATGGAGCAATGCAATCGCAAATGCAACTTCTTGTACCAGAGTTAACCCAAGTGCCTTTTTTAAACGTAAAAAAAACTTTGGTGATGGGTTCAAAGTCTAAAAGATAAAGTTAAAATTAACAAAAGTTGTTTGTTTTAAAAGAATGTGACATAAAGAAATGTTTAATATATATCAATTTATATAAATATACACATATACACACACCAATTCTGATAATCTTTACCAAAATAAAAAGTAAAATATACCTTTTGTTGATGAAATGGATGGTCTATAGCAAAGCACAGATTAGAAATAAAAGAAGGTTTGCTAAGAAGATTAGTACACTCTTGTTTTAGAAGTTGCACTTGAAAGTAATCTCTCGCACTTAATTCTGGTGACTCTCCTGTGGAAAAGTCGATGCACGAGAGTAAAGAGCGCAGCAAATGTCTGTCTGCCTCCAAACCCTTCCACTGCACCAGCTAGAATACAATAATACATTTTAGAATGATGAATTATCATATATAAAATATGTATATAAACATGAATATATTAGATATGACCTCTACGGCATTATCACATATTTAGTAACAGAAATAAAACTGAGAAAAGATTATAATATATTTCAAAATAACTTCAAACAAATAAGTATTTTACAACTATTATATTTGTTAAGTAACTGAAACATTATTATTATTATTTATGTTTTAGAAGGGAGCATTGAAAAATATACAGAGTTTCATCGTTCGAAATAATACGTTGGAATACATACAAATTACGGAAAGAGGCTAAGTTCAAGATGTATTTCATGCCGCGTGAATATTCAATTGCCATTACTTATAGAATAAGTTTATTAATCTATATATAAATCCACATTTATTTTTTTTTTGTGAAGATGTTCACTTTAATAATTGAAATTAAATGGAATCTGTAATAATATTCACGAAGCATATTGCGTTGTTCCGAGGACGGCGTGTGATGAATAGAAGGTGGAAGGGGTGGACATAAGAGATGCAGTAGTACAACAGGTTTTTTTCTACTTACAACTGATATTTCTTGGCAGCTGTCTCGAAAATTTTTCTTATTTAAATTCGTAACCAAATAACTGATTTGTGACAAAGTAAAAGATAACGAGTCCAGGTTCATAGTTCCATGAATACGACCTCGAAAGCTTCAAACACGTTTGAAGCTTTCTTCGGTATCCACGAATTGCCTCCCCGGATTCTCTCCTCGTTAAAAGCATGAAAACTACATTGGCACAGTCCTGCGACCAACATCGGGATTAATATTTTGAAATACAATTTCAAACCAACGTCATGGCGAGCACAACAAGATAATACTCAAAACGTAACACTACTCCAAAATCACACCATATAACCAGTCACACTTTACTGGTCTTTTTTTCCATCTACTTCGGTAGACTTCTACCTCTACAAGACAGCCGGTTCAATGTTTCTTTAAATCGTCACTAGAGAGCGTTAACGTTCGAATGAAAATCTATTACATTTTCTTATATGTTATATTACTAATTTTTACATAATTGTAAAAAATTTTCTTATAAATTCTATTATAAAGAGCATGTCAATTCATTTTTTTGTTTTACAATCATATACGATTAAGAAAACAACTAAATTTGTTTGGACTTTGATTAATTAATTACGTAAACAGGTTGACCAACTTTACTATAATCATTATTTCAGTGAAAAATAGATATGTATATTTACTAAAATATTTTTCAAGAGATGATAAAATTGTAAATTCTTACTTAATCACATTCGAACATTAGCGTTAAGTATATAAAATAAAAAATAGTAATGATGCTCTACTAAATAATATAAGTGAATCTTAGTAGAAACATAAACTGGTATAAATAATATTATATGAAAAATGTTCACTCCATTTTTGTATATTTTTAAATTTTCTACTTTTTATTAGGTACTATACATTTGTGTGAAGAATAATTTTAAAATCTGATTTACAACTTGATTTTATTATAATTCAGTTATTCTATTATTTTTTATTATTCCTGTAAAATGCAGGAATTTTTTTATCTTACGTTTTCCAGACATGTCTGCTTCTAAAATGAGATATTGTATAAAATAGATCACTAGTAGAGTAATAGTACCAATAGTACACAAGAGTAGGCTGAGTTGTGACTAATAAAGATTCTATAAAAATAGATTTTCTTGTAATTATTATTTAAAAATGGAGATGTCTAATATTAGAAAAGAAACTTTTGAAAGGAAAAAAGTGAAAAAGAAGATGAGGTAAGATTTACTTTGCATAAATGTATTTAAAAATATAATTGAAATATAACAAATATATGTAATATATACTAATTTATTACATCTTTTAAGTAAAGCACAAATGCAATTAATAATAATTAAAAAGAAACAATGTGATGCAAAAGCTCTTAGAATTGTTGAACACCTTCTAGAACCAAAAATAGATTTCCAATGGCTTTTGACTAATGTAAGTATATTTTTATGTGTTTAAATAATTTGACATTTACTTTAAATAATTATCAATTTTTTACAGTTAGGATATATTAACAAAAGTCACATGGAAGATGTAATTGAGGAAAGAGCTATAATCAAATTATGTGGCTATGTATTATGTAGTAATGCATTAACAAAAATAATTGATCAACGATACCATATATCAACAACAAAAAATAAGGTTTATGATATAACAAGGCGTAAAAATTTTTGTAGTTCACATTGTTATGGAGCTTCAAATTACTTATTAGAACAAATGCCCACGAGTCCATTATGGTTGAGAGATAAAGAAGAAATACCAGAATTTAAAATATTGTTAAACAAAGACGAATTAAAAGAAAGTATGCTTAGAGATGAAATTCATGTGAGAGATATAGAAATGGTACTGAATTCTGAAAACACAGATGAACATGTACAAAATAATAAAACATGCAAAAGTACAGAAAATACACTTCTCAGTAAATCTTCAGAAGTTGAAGCACATGATGAATATACAATAAAAATGTCCCCAAGAAGTAGTGAAAATGTAGCAAAAAATATTATTGAAAAACCTGGTATTTTAAAAGAGTTTCCAGAAAATGGTGTTAAGGAACCTGTAGATGTGAAGAAAGCATCTATTAATTCAGAAGATAAAGGTAGCACTGCTAAAGACTACATAAATGATAATACTGTTAAAAGAATATGTACCATAGAAGCTAATAGCTTACTAGATTATACAGGAATTCAAAATACTACAAATGTAAATAATTGTGCTATTCTTGTAAATAAAGACAAAAATCAAGATATAGAAAATAAAGAACAAAATGAGTTACTTGAAACATCAGAAACAGAGGATAATACAACTATTTCAAAATATAATACTGTTATTAGTAATAAAGATCCTATACAAAAAATAAAACAAAATAAAAATAAAAAAAATAAGCAACAAAATTCTACTAAAAAAAATCAGTCAAATAAATTTTATAATCTTGCAATTCATATTGAACATAATGTAAGGAATTGGATTACTGAAGATACAATTTCTTTATTATTAGGAAATGAAGATATTAAAAATCAATTGTTAGAAAATATAGTTCAACATGATAGATACATGCATTTGTGTAAAAAATTAAATAAATTGCAGTTGGAAGATGAAAAAGACATCCATGTAGATTTAACAACAAATTCTTTAAAACCACTACCTCATTTATGTGTTCTTCAAGAAGAGGGAGAAAAAATGGAATTAAAAGTATGTACAGCTTAATTTAAAAAGTAAGGAATTTCTAACATAAGTATCATTTGTAGGTTCGGGCATTTTATAAAGGGAGTATGATTATAGAAAATCACAAAAACGCTACAGAAGTTACTGATGAGGATAATGATTTTACTCCAATATTACCTTTAACAGAAGCACATGCACCTAAAATACTTCGACGTCGAATATTTTTAGACAAACTTAATAAAATGTAATATGATCTTCTATGTTTCTTTAATATTCTTAATTTATAATTTTATAAATATGTTTATTTTATATTTCTTTTTTTGTTATAGATTACCTGACCTATTATGTGCTTTAGCTAGTAATAAATTACCACAATATATATACAGCAGAGAGAAGAGTACTTTAATTAAAGCATTAATTAACACTTTCTCATTGTCTGCTGCAAATGTTATTTTTAAAACAGCTGAATGGACTCTTGTGGGTCTTATTATCATTAAAATGTAAGTATTTCAATAAACTGTAGATATTTAATTATCATAAAAATGATTAATGTTTTAATATATTTTACTTAGGTTGAGCATGATAGATCCTGAGCTAAAATTTGTATTGTTAAGCAAACAAGCATCAATGTACATCTCAATGATTTTAATGTCATACAAGTTGGATTCAAATTATTTAGACAGACTAGTAATGGAATTAATTAATAATACAGATAAACAAACACCTGTATAATAATAAAAATACTAATGTCGTTTAAATCATGCATATTATATAACATCTCTACTCTTTGAATATTGTATATTACATTGAAAATATATACATACTTTTATATTTATTAATTAATATAAGTAGAATAAAGATATACATATGAAATTTTTATTATGTTTTACATTCATTATTCATTAAAATTAAAGAAACGTGCAACGTAAAAAACTAACTGTTCATAAGTTTCATAATTAAGTTTTATTTTTGCATATATTAATAAAAAATGTTACATTATGTTTACAATGCTGGTGTAGGTACGCCAGTAAGAGGAGAGGGTGGACATTCAAGACCTAATGTATCTATTTGTGTTGTTGTTAATTGATCCTCCGTGGAGCGATTCCCAATTTTATCACGTAAAGCTTCATAAAGACTATGTACTGCTTCATTATGCTGAAATCATACATGAGGTTATGAAACTGTTATATAGTTATGATATAATATAACTTTATCTTTCTCTTTTAATAAAAATATATTACCTGACTAGTTGGTTGGAGTGCTTTTATTAGCGTATGAAGACGAGTCGGAGGTAACTTTAGATGGATGTACCAAAGTAACTTTAATAAATGGCGTGTAACATTGTCTCTGCCTAATCCAGCTAAGAAAAATTCGTCAAAGATGACTGTACAGAATGATTCATTAGGAAATTCATCAGCCATATTTAATATTAATAATGATACCTGCAAATCATGTGCAAATTAATTATTATGCTATCAATGATTATTAAGTTTTAAGTAAAATGTACTTACTAAAGTGTGTAAAAAGGGATCTTCAAATGCACGTTGTGCTTGACAATTTGGTAAAGTAGCTAATACTCTCATTAAACCCCTAGCATCACCTCTACCTCTTCCTATTCCACCACCACCTCCTACATGTAATGCATAATACATAGACAAAACAGCAGCAACTCCTGAAAGTTGTGCATATGCTTGACAAGCATCAGGAGGAGGACCAGAATGTTCTATTATAGCAATTGCACTTTCTCTCTCATCAGGCGGAAGTTTACAATTTAATTGTCTTATTTGATCATCGACCTAAAATATGAATTACTAATTATTACATTTATTTAAAATTACGTATTACTATATACAGCCTATGTAAGTTTACCATTAAAGACATAAGTGCAGGTAGAAATTTTGTCACAACTTGACTATCTAGTTTCGGTTCCTTAAAATCTTGCGAATCAATCATTTGCCAAGCAGATAAACCTAATGCAAGCATTCTGAGTAACAATACAAGAACTGCATTTTCTCTAGGCAGTGCTTCACCATTTATCAAATGAAGTGCAATTTTGATTGCACTACTAGCAAGGAAATTTACTGCATATGGATCACATAATATCATGCTTAGATCACCCAAGACTTGTTCTTGACCTCTCTGTAGAAAAATGCAGATCATTTTACTTTCTATCAATAAGTAAATAGGTATTATTAAATGCAAATATTTTTATTACATACCTTAATACTATCCAAAAAACCTTGTAATTCACGGGATCTTTTAATGTCAACATTCTTTTCTCTAATACATGCATCAAGGCACCAAGTAAATTTATGACATGGATCAACAGAAATAATATCTTGTACCTAAATATTTAATATTTAAATAATATTATATTCATTTTGCATAATATTGTATAAGTAATTTAAAATGATACAAATTTACCTCTAAATCATGTAAGGCCATTAATAATTCTGCTCTTAATGTACAATAATGTATATTTTTTGTACGTAAAAATAAAGTTCTTAAAAATTGTAATACCATGTCATATAATTTTACACTATGTCCAATCATATGTGCTAGTTTTTGTACTACTTCACCTTGTCTTCTTACCTAAATATATAAATTATATAATTAGAAATTCACAATTTTTTTAATGAATATTTATTTCTAACATACTATACCTTGGGAGAAGGCATAAAGAAAAGGCTATTTAAGTTTCGATGATCAAATAATATTTGTTCTTTCTCAATGATATATCGACTAAATAATGGAGAAACTTCATCTCCAAATAAACTCTGATTATCTTTCCAAATTTGACGTTTAACTTCAGTGTCCGCATCATTGTATAATTCTTTTTCTCGAACAAGTACTCGTAAATATTTATCTTCTATGTGTGGAGTATTTCTTAAAATACACATAACAACTGGCCTTAGTGCTGCAACTCTTACAGCTGGAAAACTTTTGGACAATAATTCTTTTAATCTTCTGTCACCTGCTGAACCTCTGTCTGCTCTTTCTGTTCCAATTTCATTAATTCTTTTTATTAATTTTTCTCTTAATTCTTCAAGAACTGATGCATGAAAATCTAGTCTTCTTACTCCATGAAGATCAAGTAAAGGTAACATTGGACGTAAAGATGGTAATAAAATACCATTTTCTAACTGAAATTCTTCAATTGCTTTTAGCGGGTCTGTACAACTTGTTAAAGCATCTCTTAAGAAACCTTGTCCAGGTATACCAAGATCATCCAAACCATTTCCAATCTCACAACTATTTTTCACAGTATTCATTACTGTTTTGTTTATTTATATGGAATATCTTTACACACAAATGAATACAGAATTATAATGTAATATTATATGATTCAATAAATTTTTTAATAATTGCGATATATTTTAAGATGTACAAAGAATCATTTCTAAATATTTTTCATTTTTAATTGCAATCATTTATCAAATAACATTTCTCATCATATAAATAATTTTGTATTACTTTTATATAACCTGAAATTATCAGTATATTGTTACACATCATTACAATATCACAATAAATTTAGCAATAACTTCTTATTGAATTTATATATATACCTGCTTAAACCAACAGTGAATAGAAAGAATATACCTATGCGGCGTCACTCGACAGCACAAATACCGCTACTCGACGTAAACAACTAACGGACGACGGTAGCGCAGAGGTTAGCACAATAGATTACGAACGTTCGGAACGCAGGATCCGAATTCCAGCGACTGAGTCAGATTTTTATTCCACGATTCTAAATAGGAAGAAAATATAGCAGTACCCCCAGCAGCGACATCTACAGCCACCAGCCACAATCATCACGGACACGACTTATACACCTCACCTATTTATACTTATTCTGTTTCCTTTTACGAAATATGTACCTATAGCTATATATGTATATGTATATTTATATATAGATAACACAAATGTCAGCTCAGATAAATATACTATGTGATGTATAAAGATCAAATTTACTCAAGTATTGTATTCAGATTGCTATTCTCTTAAATATAATGTAAATTAAAGTATAAATAAGATACAGAAATTGTCTCTAAATTTGTTAAGTGATCTGATTCGAGAGGGAATATATACTGTTTAACGTACATTCATTCATAAGATAGTAGCATTTTAGGTTACTATGGCACAATCAACAGCTAGTGGAACGTCTTCTCGACGATATATGAAAGAACACGATGTTAATGTACCATCTTCATCACGCTATGTGGATAGTGAATGGGAAACTAAAGAGGTAATAGTTAAAATTTGTTACTCTTATTTTTGAACCACAACAATTTGTTCTTGTTACTTTACATAAAAAATAAATTACACTCTATACATATGAAATTTTAAAAACATTTTACTCTTACTTATTTCTGTATAAACAATAGCAATGATTACATATATTTATTTTAATACTAGAATAATATTTACCTACAGTAAGCTTTTTATTTTCAATATCCTTAGGCTTTACGACAAAGAGAGCTTGAGGAAGCAAGAGCGCGAGCTGCACAAATGGAAAAAACAATGAGGTGGTGGTCAGATTGTACCGCTAACTGGCGAGAAAAGTGGAGCAAAGTACGTAATGAAAGGAATATGGCAAGAGAAGAAGCAAAGACGCTTAGATCAAAATTAGAAATTGCTGTAAAAGATGCAAATAGTTATAAACACGAATGCCAGGAACTTGAATTACAAAATGAACAATTAAAAAAAGAAATGGAAAAAATACATATGGTATTGTTAAAACACGCTGGCCAATTTGATCAACAAATTTTTACAGTTTTAGAATCAGATCCACAATTAAGAAATACATTAGGTATAGATGAATTATTGAAGTTTTACAATAATGTGGAACAAAGTGAAAGTGTAAATTCTCAGAAAGATTTACTTACTTGTAAAGTTCTTGATGACTCTAATGTTTGCTTAGGAAGTCATAGTATCTTACCAGATAGAGATATTGAAGAATATGTATTACAAGGTGCAGTGCCAAAACATGCTGTAGAATTATATAAAGAGAGTCCTCTTAATTCATTAGATAAAGATATTGCAGGATTGGTTGCAGATTCTAATTCTGTAGAAGATAATGTAGAGAAAAATTCGTCTTCATTACTAACTCGTGTAGATGATTCATATGCACAAAAAATAATTTTACTCCAACATAAATTGGATGAAGCTACAAAAACTATTTCTACTGAAAGAGAGTAAGAATATGAAAAATTATTATTTGTTTATATCTAACTTCAATTTACTGAATTAATTGGATTTTATTTTAATAGAGAAAAAAATTCTTTACATCGTAGTATGGAAAAATTGAAAGCAGAAATAATACAATTAAGAGAACAGTGTGAAGAATTAGAAGAAAGCAAAGCTGATGTTACAAGAGAATTACTTGAATTGAAAGATCGGTTTCAAATTAAGCTTAGCGATGTACAAGCTGGTATAATTGATGAAGCTTCCAGTAGAGAAGGAATGAATCGTCGTCTGTGTGAACTTAGGGCTGAGGTATATCTTATAAATATATGTCGGAGAAGAGTCAGGAATAGGGTTGTGGGTGTTTGGTAAATCTTCATTGGAATTGGCCATCGTTGTGGTATAACAAAGGTACAGTCTGCTAGCACGAGTATGGATACTACCGACTCTACAATCAACCGCGGCGGTTGAGCACTCGCGACACTAGTGATAATGGTCTTAGGTTCGATAACGAATCCGCGGTCAACGGGATGATAGATATCCTTGCTTACAAAATCTAACTCAACGTGTAATACTCACAGATCGTAAGGCACTACTCTCTTCGTCGATAAGATCGCAAGAAAGAATGAATTTTCGTCCTAATGATGCCACAGAGGAAAACTATAATGGGGTGTGTCTGAGGACACGAGATCATCGGATTCGTCGAGTATAGTCCTCGTTCCGAAAGTACGGGAAATTGACGTCGCTGTCAATTGGTCAATTTGGGACTGATGCTTTGGTGGTAACGATATTTGACCCTAATTATCCGATAGGATTACATACCGACGCTAGTTTGGATGTATATGAGGTTGAAGGTATAAGGTTAATGCATAAGGTTGAAGGTATATATACTTACAGGTATACATACATACTTGACGAATCCGATGATCTCGTGTCCTTAGACACACCCCACCATAGTTTTCCTCTGTGGCATCATTGGGATGAAAATTCATTCTTTTACACGTTTGAGTTGGATTTTGTGAGCAAGGATATCTATCATCCCGTCGACCGCGGATTCGTTATCGAACCTAAGACCATTATCACTAGTGTCGCGAGTGCCTAATCACCGCGAGTGATTGTCAAGTCTGTAGTATCCATACTCGTGTTAATAACCCGTACCTTGGTTGTATCATGACGATGGCCAATTCTAATGAAGATTTATCAAACGCCCACCACCCTATTCCTGACTCTTCTCCGACATATAAATATAGAAATATATTTAAAACTTTGATATATTTGTAATTATTTGTGATTATATGACTTTAGTTAGAGAAACTTCAAGCAGAAAATGCAGCCGAATGGGGAAAACGAGAACGTTTGGAAACGGAAAAAATTTCTTTAGAACGTGAAAATAAGCAACTCCGTAATGAATTAAATGATTTACAAGAAAGGATAGAATCTCGACGATCACGTCCAGTTTCCACATCAGACAGCGATACAAGACAATTGCAACAAGAATTTTTAGTTAGGAATGTGGTTTGTACTATGTACTAACACTTTAATTTGAATATAATATATGTTTAGTATATAATTATACTAATTTAATTAGCATTTGTATTATTGTTTATTGTTAGACAATATTGAAAAAATCTCTGGAAGAAAAAACAACAGAACTTTCACATGCCATGAGAAGATCAGAGCAATATGAAGCAGAAGTAAAGAGAGTTAGAGCGAGAGTAGAGGAATTGAAAAAAGAATTAGCTGCAGTTCAAGATGAAGTGGATGCTGCAACTAACAATGTTCGTAAATTGCAACGAGCAAATAAGGATCTCTTAGAACAGTTAAAATCAGCTAATGTACAATTGGAACATTTTCGAAATAGGTAAATGGTAGCAATATTTATTAATATCTTGATTATATTATATATCCACATTTTTTTCATTAAATTATAGAACTCATATTGACAATTAATTTGTTATCAGTACTGATACCTATTCGGTAGATGTAGGAACAGGAGAAAATCTTGAAGAAAAATTACGTATAACTAATGATGGCAAATTAGCAAATGGTAAGTTTCAATATATTGATTTTCGTATCAATTTAATAAATATAAATAAATCATATAAATACTATTTCAGAGTATGAGCCACAGGAGGCCTAGTATTCACTCATTTTAATAATAATATTAAATTAATTCGAGCAATGATAAATGTGAAACTTGGAATGTGAAAAGCAATTTTTTCCATATTTTCCAAAATGTATACACCAGTCGATGTAGCAATACTTTTGAATTATGTCAAAACCCTGTTAAATGTATAAGAACTTATTTATTTGATAACTGAACTGAAATAATGAAATATTATTGTCTATTTCAGTATTGTATTATTGTTTAAATTAGACTATTTTTTCAAGTTTGTATTATAATTTGCTCTTTCTTATTAATTTTACATATAACTGTATATATATATAATTCTTTTTGTAATGTTTTATACTATGAACACTTTTGTGAATATTTTAAATATTTCTTATTTGTAAAAATTCACATTCCAATGTATTATGTTTTAAATATTTTTACTGTATGTATATAAATAATGTATATAACTTAAATCATATATGTCGGAGATGAAAGGACACCGGAGCCGTCCCTCTGGAACTTCGGGAAAATCCGTAAAATCGTAATTAAAGTTTACAGTCGTAATTAAACAATTTGCCGTTATCCTGCCCAATTGTACTTGTTTGCGATTTGTGATAATAAACTTGGGCTCAAGGCGACCATTAGTCGCCGAACGTAGCCGCGGTCAACGGGACGGGCGCTTCGCCTAACAAAGGTGTGGAGTTATAGTATGACCCTCATTAAAAGAAATACCAATAGAGATACTTGACAGTAAAACATTCCAACGGTTTCTGAGGACAATGAATACCTGATGTTGAGGCACGTACACAGCGCAAGTCCAGTTAGTCCGAGGACCCGCTATAAAACCTGGGTTTTTCCGGCAATTGAGATTTTCCAAACGGACAGACAGTCTTTGTCCCAAACTGACCAATTGACAGCGACGTCAATTTCCCTTACTTTCGGAACGAGGGCTATACCCGACGAATCCGATGATCTCGTGTCCTCAGACACACCCCATCATAGTTTTCCTCTGTGGCATCATTGGGACGAAAATTCATTCTTTCTTGAGATCCCACCGACGAAGGGAGCAGCGCCTGACGATCAGTGAGTTTGAGTTAGAGCAAGTATATCTTTCATCCCGTTGACCGTGGATTCGTCATCGAACCTAAGACCAACGTCACTAACATCGCAAGTGCCCAACCACCGCTGTTGATTGTCGAATTAGTGGTGTCCATACTCGTAGCATCAGGCCGTATCTTCGTTATCACACAACGATGGCCAATTCCAAGGGAGATCCATCAAACGCCCACAACCCTGTTCCTGACTCTTCTCCGACATATATGTATGTAATTTCAAATTTTGTTTCTTACCTAAAGACTGGTGAAGTTAGATAATGAGAGATTATCTGTACCATCTATGATACCTGATATTTATATGTGCGTGGTTTGTAAAATAAGGTCTAAAAAATCGTGAATGTACCTATGTCTATATTATATGGAAGTTAATGCCCTAATTTTAAGTAGAAGAACTATTTAAATTCAAGCTTGACTGTAATGAATTTAAAAGAGGTCATATATATTTATTAATTGATGTAATTAATATTTGAAGGCGAATAGAAAGTAGAATCCTTTATTTGTTTAATATATGTTTTATTGATAAAAAAGGTTAGATACTAAAATTTGATGCAGCATTAAATTTATAATGTACACTCAGTACAAGTACCTCAATAAAAATGATATGTAGTGTGTATATGTGAAAGAAATAATAGAAATATTATTACATTCATAAGATATATGAATGATCATAAATATTAATGCAAGGATAAACAAGAAGAATAATCTAAATTGTAATAAAAAAATATCTCTAATATTAGTAAAGTATAAAATAATCTACGAATAAAAACTAAGTTTTTTTAAACAATACAAGAGAGTTTTTATACCTTATAATCACTATTTAACATTTCATGGGAGTACCATCGGGATATGTCGGCATTTTTGGTTTGCAAATTTTTGTTCTACCATTAGAACCATATACAATATTGCAAGAGAATGTAAAATATCCACAAGTCGAACTTTTCGTGTAATAACGATGTTCATATTTTCTTGGTGAATTTCTACCATCTAGTTTACCAGCAATGCTGTTTGTTATTGTATAATAACTTGGTTTCATTGGTACATTAGAATTGTATTTCGGATATTCTGTTGAAGTTTGATATCGGATTTGTGGAAAAGTATTTTTTTGCTTTTCTTTAGATGCAGCATGACTTTCTATTAATCTTTCATGATTAGTTTTAAGAGATCTGATTTCTGAAATAGGTGATTTATTTTCGTAAGTTAAATTTGGTTCTTTTGGAATCAGGGAAACTGTTTGAGATTGAGATTTCCCATCGCCATGAGTAATAATTTTATCACCAGCTACAGATATTACTCTACCACGAAAGCCAGGTGGTATAGTGTACCTCGATTGTAATGATTGACCAGGTTGGAGGACATCACCAACTTGTGCTGCATTAGTATCTTGTTTCACGTGAACGTCATACTGATTTCCAGCTGCAACATGTAATGTTTGTAATTGATAATTACTATTATTTTGTTCTGCAGCATAGCTTTTTGAAATCTTCGGATTCATTGAAGTTTGAAATGATGACATGTCATAATCTTCACCATTATATTCTTCTTCATAATCATATACTGAATCATCCAGTTGGGACTTCTCAACAGATTGATCTGGTTTACTAGTAATATTTCGTGAATTGTCATCTGGCTTAGTAAAAGTTCTTCTTTGGAAACTAGAACTAGTTTGTAAACCTGACTGAAGTTTGTCTTGATTATATTCATTATCTGGGGCTGTATTTATCCTTTCACTACTATTCTTCTGTACAATTTGTGGTCCATAAGATGGTTTGAATGGTTTAAATAGCTCACTATCCGTAAGATTGAAGTTGAATGGCTTTCTAGAAGTTGCTGCACCAGATCCCGATCCTGCTTGCGCAGCACCAGTGTAAGTAATTCCATATTGGAAAGATCCTTCAAGTTGCGATTGAGATTGACCTGTATATGCTCCACTTTGAGCGGAGGCTGTTCCACCTCCGCGGAATGGTTTCGAATATCTTTCAATTTTTTCATCTGTCTTAAGATATGGTTGAAAACCAATTTGAGCTTGACTTGAAGTACTTCCTTCACCATTTGCTTGAGCATCTGCCATTCCACCTTTGGAGCTTGCTTGTACTTGGGAATTTGTACCATGATTCCAGCCACTACTTTGTGCACCTGTTGTTGTGGCACCTAATTCTGAATTTAATTGAACTTGTGTTTGACTCTTTCCATAACCACCAACTCCTTGAGCATTGCTTACTACACCTCCTTTACCACCATTAATTTCAGCTTGTGCACTTTTATTTATGTCAGTACTACCAGCTTGAGCTGAGAATGATCCAGAACCACTATAAGTACCTGTTACTTGAGATTGAGCTGTACCTTGTTGAAACTTGCCTTGAGCTGATGCGCTTGCTTGAGTACCTGAATCTGTTTGTTTTACAGAACTAGATGCTTGAGAATTAGAGTTATCATTTTCTACAGGTAAAAGATTACTAGGTTGTTGATAATATTGAGGAACCTCTCCAGTATTTGTTATGGATCTTATATTGGATGGATACTGTATACTACCAGGATATTGTCTGATACCTTGTCCTTCACCTGGGTATTGTTCAATTACTTGTCCATGCCCTACAAGACTTGAAGTTAAAGCTCCTTTATCTTGCCATCTTGAACTGCCAGGATATTGTCCTTGCAATGGGTAGCTCGGCGGTATTATTGCACGATTTTCTGAATATTTTCCTTGAAAAGAATCTCTTGTACCATCAAGATTACTTGTTCCTGGTGCAGTACCTGTAGAATAGGTAATACCACCACTTGGAGCTGTGACAGATATTCCTGGTATAATGTCTCCATCAATCTTTCTACCTGGTATCACGTTTCCTGGATAATGTACAGTTTCTCCTAATTGACTTGCTGGTGGTGAAATACCACCGCCATAAACACTTGTAACATCAGCAGGACGACCAGGAAAAGTCCTTGGTGTACCTGGTGTTCCAAAAAATTGTGTAGGGGACTGTCCACTGGGATACACATTAGTATCTCCAATTGCTTTTGAGTCTGTTATAATTTGGCCATGAAGAGTATCTCTGGTATCTGGTACAGTACCACTAGTATAAACACCACTCGGGTAAGGTACACTACCACCAGTTACAGTACCAGGTATTCCTCCAGGATAAGTAACATCATCACTAGTCGTAGTACCAGGTACACCCCTAGGATAAGTTATGCCACCACCAGTTGTTGTGCCAGAAATTATTCCAGGGTGTGCTATGCCACCAGCAGTTGTAGTACCAGGCAGACCTCCGGGATAAACTGCAGCATCACTAGTAGTAGTACCAAGTACACCTCCAGGATAAGTTACACCACCACCAGTTGTAGTACTAGGTACACCTCCAGGGTAAGCTACAGTACCGCCAATTGTAGTACCAGCCACACCTCCAGGATAAGCAATGTGACCAGTTGTAGTACCAGACACACCTCCAGGGTAAATTGTACTACCACCTGTTAAAGTTCTAGGCACTCCTTCAGGATAAGCTACACCACGACCAGTTGTTGTACCAGGTGCACTTTCAGGATGAACTACACCATCACCTGTTACAGTACCAGGCACTCCTCTAGGATAAGTTACACCACCACCAGTTGTTATACCAGGAATGCTTCCAGGATAAGCTATACCACCACCAGTTGTTGTACTAGGCATACTTCCTGGATAAGTTACACCACCACCAATTGTTGTACCAGGCATGCTTCCAGGATAAGCTGCACCATCACTAGGTACACCTCCAGGGTAAACTGTACCACCAGTAATTGTAGTACTAGGTACACCTCCAGGGTAAGCAACATCACCACCAGTTGTAGTACTGGGTACACCTCCAGGGTAAACTGTACTACCAGTAATTGTAGTACTAGGTACACCTCCAGGGTAAACTGTACCACCATCAATTACAGTACTAGATACACTTCCAGGGTAAGCAACACCACCACCAGTTGTAGTAATAGGTATATTTCCAGGGTAAGCAATACCACCACCGGTTGTAGTAGTAAGTATACCTCCAGGGTAAGCTACACCACCACCAGTGGTAGTACGAGGTGGACCTTCAGAATAAGGTATACGCCTACTTATTACAGTACCAGGCAAACCACCAGGGTGAACTGCACCACCACCTGTTATAGTGC